ATATATATATATATCTTATGTTATTTTACCAATAATATATTTTTGTTTTAAAATGTATATTTTAAAATTCACACAATAATTTAAAATAATGATTTATAAATTTCAATTTGGTGAGGGCTGGTGTACTGTATCTCTATCTTACATCTCGTGCAAGTGAATTTTGTTACGCTTTACTTGTTCCATTTTATATAAAAAATTGTTTCTATATTTTATTTCTAAATAAAATCTAATATATATATATATATATATATATATATATATATTTAAAATTCACGTATTAATTTGTAACTGTGATTGTAATTTCCTCTAACATTTGGCATGTTATAAAATTGTATAACATTTTTTTTATCTCGTGTGTGTTTATGTAAATTTTCTCTTATCATAAAAAAATTTTATGAGTAAAAAAGTTTCTTTAAGTCACTTTCAACGCAAACGGCTTTATTATATTTTAAGAGTATTTTAAAAGAGATTTTATTTCCAAACTTTTTTATCTGTCACAAAAAAATCAAATACCTTACAAAAGATGTTTTTAAACAAATTTTCTTTTTAAAAAAACTCTTCATAAAAACATAAAATTTTACAACTAAATCAATGCAGTTGCAATCTCATCGCTAGAGAATAAGTTTTAAGTTGTTAGTGAATAATTTGGACAGATTAGTTTGACCTTTTATTGAACTCTATGTTAATTCATAAAGGAAAAAAAAAAAAAAACTAGTCCATTTTATCTTCTAAAGCATTGTTGATATTCTCCGATTAAAAAAGTTGTCATTTTTTAAGATTTGTCCTTATCTATTGGTTCTACTTTAATCTTTTAGGATTGCTAAACTCTTAAGAGTTTAGCATAGGTGCTTGTGTTTCTTTGTTTATCTATTAATGTAATGCTAAATTTTAATATCCTTTTAAATTTTTTATATCATGATGATGTGGCTAAAAAATTATTAATCCAAAATAAGGCTGTAACTTAAAATTAAAGCCCTTCTAAAATAAATAAATAAATAATCTAAAGTAATTATAATTTTTTTTCTCAAAAATATATTTACATTGATTCATAAGTGTACTTCCTTGTGAACAAATAATAAAATAGTTTTGTGTTTGGGAGTGAAATTTAATCACTACGTAAGTTTTTAATAAAAGAAAATAATGAGAGGAGATCCACGCCATGGCAGTAAAACAATGTCTTGGTAGTACGGTAAAACTTAGAAACTAAAAATATGTTAAAAAAAAGTGTGTTGCTAATATTTATTATTCAGAATTAATATTATACTGTTATAAATGAATAAGTGAATGATAATTATTATGTAATTATAGAAGTACACAGTTGCAGCTGACAATTATTCTCTTGTAACTCTTAGAAAAATATAAATTTAGCAAAGAGAATTTAAATTGCAAATTGAAGAATCAAGCCCAAAAATATAATAAACTAAAAAGAATAGACCTACGTTCTCTTCAAATTTTTGCATTCAAGTTGTACCCAAAAGCATCACCAGCAAATTAATAAAAAGTGACCCAATTAAGTGAACCTCTCTCAATAAATTATTATTAGAATGAATTTGAAATAAAAGGTATGAACCTTTTGTTTTAAGTATATAATCGTTTGTCCTCTGAGTAATGTTGGACTTGGAACATATTGTTCAATATTTGACTAAACAAGGGCAGAGATATCTGTCAAGCACTTCACAAGATGCAATCATTTTTGAACCATCTCATCATAATAAAGTATCTTTAATTTATTTGGCCAAGCCTGTAAGAGTTACATGTAGAAGACCAGTAAGAAACAGAAGCAAGTGGTAGAAGTACTATTGATAAACTTTTTATGGAAGAGCACCATATCAGAACATCCTTACAAACTCCCCACAAGATTTCAACCACTACTTTTCTTAGTCATCATTGTACTCGCATATCTTATTTTTAATTACTGCTGCTTGCCTGAAAACCATGAAAGATTATTTTGATTAATAGCACAAATTGAACAAAGTCTAATAATGTAAAATTATTCAATGTGTATATATTATGTATGGTGTTACATGAGTACTATTTCTGCGCTTCAGCAAAATGCAGACACCTAAAATCTTTAAAATATATGTAATATGAGCGTACAAATTTGAATTAATATGTATGTACCTTTTTCTTAAGCTTAGATTTCTGCTCAGTTTTCTTTGGGGCTGACTTTGAAGCTGGTGCTTTGTGAGTGTTCCCACTAGGTTTGGTAGGTTCTTTCTTGACCTGCCCTGATGACTGAGAGCCAACAGGTTTTTCAGCTTTGAGTGATGCCATTTTATAATTCTTTTCTAAGTAAAAGTGTTCTTAACCTTGTTTGCTTGCTCCAGGTTATCACAAGCCACCAGAGACATCCTTTTATAGATGAATTTGAGAATAACATGGCCTAACAAGTTCAATACCATTTCATCAAATTGCCACTTGCCAGTAATGTTTGAGGGAATGGAATAACTGAACGGTAGGCCTATTGAGAGATGCTGCAGCATCTGATGCTTACCTAAGGCATTTTTAGCAGATATTATTGGATTCATATATTCTACAATATTGTTGATATCATTATGACATGCATGCATACTCCATATAGTGTTCAGATGAATGCTCCCTTGAACTCGTGTATTTTACTTCTTGTTATAACAACTAGACCATTTTCGAATATGGGTCAAAGGCTATTGGCTTCCCACTCACTAAAAGTAATGAAAATAATTTTAAGCATGTAACAAACAAATTAGAGAAATTCTTAAATGTCAAGGGAGGAAGAGGTTTTCTATCTCTTTTGTACTACTTTATCTGTGCTAAATTAGCTACAACATTAAAAATGTGGTATGGAATTTGTTACAATCTCTAATCTCCGATGGCAAAATAAGATAGGAATACCTGCAAAGACACTTGGGTAGTTAAGTTAGTAATGAAATTTGCAAGTGTGAGTGAGATTGGATGATCAAACTTAGGGTGTGTGTTAAAATAAGGAAAGTAATATCTTTAGTAAATAAGAAAAGTGGCACTGTAGTGAAGATAATCTGTGTCAAATCTTCTTATGATTTCAGACTTGTACTAGATAAGACACTTCGGCCATTACCGTAGAAGAAAGAAAATCAATACATATTCTGCTTGATACCAGGTAGAAAGGTATTTATATCCTTTTGGCCTAACTTAAGGATGAACATCTTTCTAATCATGTCAAAATAAGATAATTAAAGATTAATAATCAATAAAAAAGGCTAATTACTTAAGTAATTAAAAAATTAAGACAGGACTGAGTCATGAAATTTATTAGTCTAATATTTTGTCTATAAAAAAAAAGTAAGAAGTATAAGTAAAAAGTTAACTTTTGACATTAAATAATATTTATTACCCTATACCGAATACTGACTTCACCATCAGAATATCTTTGTAGGTATCCCATGTTATAGCATAGAAGAATTTAAAATATTTCACAAGAACGTTACATCAAAGAACGAGAAAAGAGACTATAGAAGACAAGTATTTCTATATCAGGAACAAAACTATTTATGACAAGTTAGGAATATAAGATCTTAGGAGATTTGGTAGGAATAAGATTTGCAGATAATGCTCCAGAACATGAAAAAATGATGGGGCATGGAGTTGGCGTGATAAGTATTGAATAGTGCTAAGCAAGAAAATTTTCTTGCTCCCTGAGAACTTGAATTTCTCAATAGATTAACTACATTGCATAATTTATTACACATAGTTTTTATTGGTTAAAAGTATAGTTCATACTTCATACAACTAAAGGATTAATTGACACTAGATAAATTTTTTACAATATGTATTTGAGTGCATATTTTGTCTATTAGTTGTTGGGAAAAAACAGGTATACGTGTCTGTGTATCATTGCATTTCCTTAACAGAATCAAATTTCTAGGATGGATGGTTGTTCCTTGATATAGCAGAGTCAGAGACATAAAACATTCTTTTTTCTTGAAAATTAAAATATTTCAACACATCTAGTTCAATTTCCATAACTGATTGTTTTCTTCAAATCACTTCCATAGATTCATGATCAGAAGGCTGTTCCAATTTAAATTCAATAAAACAGGAGAACGTGCACAGGAATGTTCAACTAATTAGACTAATATTTATATTTTAAAAAAATTAATGAATCCCAGACATTACATGAAAACTTTATTAGACAATTCTCATTACTAATATTTTAATTTTCAACATTATACTTTCATGAAGATTCAAAGCGACCTATTGTTTCAAGAATGGATATTTTGATGACTAAAATAGCGATGAAAGATATCTGGTTTTTCTCTAGAATTACAAATGATTAACTTAAACACTGAAGTGAACCATTATTGTTTGATTTGCGAGATCTTAAGTATCACTCATAACATTATTTATCCATCCTCGGTACTCGATAATATTGCTATAGAGGTCTACACGATCACACTACCACCGTAATTTTAATGTAATTTCAATAACCTTAATGCAACTAAGCTTGCAACTACAATCTAAAATCATGTTCATTGCTAATTATAATGATTTACACCTACAACATATATAGAGGAAGGGAGAAATATAAGAATAATTTTAAAATGTAAAACATATATTTGATAAGATAAAACTCTTAGTCTACAGCTTTTTAACGTAAGGCTCATTATTTTGTGGCTGAGATTGTGATGGATAATGTTGAGGAACCTTCCATAAAGGCTCATTATCTCTCATTCCTTATTTTCTGTTTGAATTTTCGGATTTCAAAGCTTCTGATGGAGAGGACAATAGCAATACAACACAAAGCGTTGCATTTTGCTTCTGCTAGCTTTATCAACTCCCAATTTCACTTTATTTCGTCAATTTAAATTTGTTGCATTTGAAATTACTTCAAAGGTTGCACGAAAAATATGGAGTGTGTAGCTATACAAATTTTAATTACTCCATTTCATATCAATTAATCACAAGGATTTAAATATATAGCATTTTAAATTACTTTAAATGTTAAATGAAAAATACAACTACAACTATACAAATTTTAATTGCTTCATTTCATACCAATCAACCACAGTGCTTTAAATATGTTGCTTCCGAATTATTGCAGTAGTTACATGATGAATACGGACTACATATACACAAATTTTAATTGCTTCATTTCATATCAATTAATCAGAAATATTTATAATATTCTTCTTGTAGCTTGAACCGACTTACCACTTCCACTGAGGCAATGATCCCAACAATAAAAGTGCAAAATTAATATTATGATCCTTATCTAGTCAATGATGCAGCCCCATCCTCAAAGCAAGATAAGCCACAACTCTGTATCCAAACAACATTACAGCCAATACAGCCACATCTCCCCACAAGCTATCAAGTCCAAGACACTTTATGGCCGGAAAATCTCTTATCCTACAATGCAACCCTGGTCCACATTCATTGACCTCATTTACTGAGTACTGCACTCCTACTAGAAGCTTGTAGCAATAGTGACTAAAAGAAATGTACTTCAACCAAGCTATAAATGATGGCATTTGCTGAATGTAGTAGCCACCAGCTAAAAGAAACACCAACATGGTCACTGAAGCTAGTGTTGTGGCCTGTTTAACATCCATTAGAATGGCACCAAGTGCTAGGCCTATTCCTTGAGAGACAAGAACATTGAAAAGCATGATCAAAAGGGTTAAGACAAATGTAACCAAAGAAGGCTTGAGACCACCCATCCAATAAGTGATAGTTACAAATATGGTTGGAAGCACAAGCTCCATTGGCAAGTCTCCAATCATTCGTGCCATGTAGTAGGCGGAGAGGTGGTACATGCCTGATGATCGTTCTTTCATAAGCATTGGCCGGTCCAGAGGGAAAGCAAAGATGGCATTAAATAGAGGGAAGAATCCCCAAAAGATGGAGAAGAAGAATAGCAAGCCAACCTGTTAACAAGCATATAATTTTGTTGTGAGCACTGCTATACGACATGGGAAAGTAACTGCTTTTTACTGTGTTTGAAGTTTAATCCAAATTAAAAGGTAATTGAGTGCACAACCTAAGCAAATTGTCTTAAGTATTCTATATTCTTTAATATCCAATGACCATTTACTTTTGAACTCTCAAAAAAAAAAAAAACCAAAAACACAAAACAAAGCATAGGTTCACAATACCTGATCTTGTACGTGTAAGGGATCAGAATGCCACCACAAAAGTCCTGAGAGAATGGAGACAGACAAGACTTGGAAAATCCTTAGGCCAGAATAAGATTCATGCCTCCTCTCCTTTAAACCCCTCTTAAGCAGAACCTTGAATTGCTCCCACCAACTTGTGGTCCATTGGTTCTTAGAACCTACCATACATACATAAACATCATTTAGCCTTGGTGCTATTCTAATGTCCTGTTCTTTACTACTATAAAGGTAAATCTATACCAAAGAAACCAGAAAATTTCACTTACTTCTCGATGTTCCTGTGTTAAAAAATCCTGGGTCTCTATTATTCTGTTGAATCTCTTGTTTGAGAAGAGGGTATAAGTTTTTCTTATAGGATGAAACTAGGAGCTGTTTGACTGATGCTTGATCCTCATGGTGATCTATCTGATCATCCTGTCTGACATCAGCAACTATGCCTGCAAATCCAAAAAATCTAAAGAATTAGAATCTTCATCTCCATATCAAACTATTTTGGTTTTAGTGTTTATGAACCAAATATTTCAGAAATCGAAGCATAATTAATCATATCATAACCAAGCTTGAACATGCTTCCAGCAACATAATTTCCGGGATCCAAATATCGTTTACTATTTGGAAATTGAGCTTAAATGTTCATCTAAATTCAGTTTTAGAATTAAATGAAAATTTTAAACTTTCATAACATAGCTAATCTCACACTCACATAGTGCGTAAAGACCATGGATGCTGACACTAAGCTATAATTCAATGTATGCCGCAATATTAGAGATGGAAAATTACACTGCCAAAGAAGCCTTTACTTTTGAAAAAGAAAAATTAAAGTGTTCGGACAAGGCACGAGAGTGGGAAATATAGTATAGTGAATCAAAAGTAGCAAAAGTGATGATGATACTCATAGATTTCCACAAACCCCGTTAAAGATTTTCGTGCAAGTCACTGAATCATACCTTTAGTTCAATAATCACTTTAAATAATTCAAAATGAGTCTCTCTTTTTCTCTTTCAATAAGAACTATATAAGATAAATTTTTATGCAAGAATCATTTTCCTAAAAGATAAAATGAAAAAAATCTTATAGTAAAAATCAAGAAAATTATTGAAAATGAAAAGAAAGCACTTATGATTGATAAAAGGAGAAAAAGAAACAATTTTGTAAGTATTTGTGATGTTTTGTAAGCACTTTTGATTGGAAAATGAGCCCATTCTACCAAACGTACGAGGGAACGAGATTTTTTAATAAAATCAAAAGCAATGAGCTCAAATTAATTCCAAAAACATACTTATCTCGTATTAAACTTTATGAGATCATGGGGATTGGACCATATCGAACACCTTTAACATTTATTACATAAAGTTCTCCCGTGTGTTGATCCACGTTTCACGAAAGATACTCACATGTTTTGAAACCGACCGAATAGGGATTTCGGTCTTGTCTTATCAATTCACTTCTTCTAATGACCCATTGGGAATTGCCACCTTGAAAACAAGGTTCATAGGTAAGAAACTCCAATCCTTTTGCATCCACATTATTTAATTATGAAAATGAACCCTTACCAAATAGCGACCAGGTGTAAAACACTCTCTTTTGAATTTCATGCATGGTGTCCATTGCCTAATGGGTCAATTGTTCTACAAAGAGATTAACATGCACAAAACAAAATCCTACACTTTCTTACATCACTTTCTAAAAAAACCCCACCTTTTAAGATTCTTAAAATTTGGTCAAATAACTTACCATTAGCAAGGTCAAGCAAAAAATCAGCCGGGTTCATGAAATTGAAAGCGGGTACAAACCCAATGGACTCAAAATAATCCATGACCCGACCCGCTTGCCCGGTATAAACCGGGTACCCGTCCGACAACACCACCACCTTGTCAAACATCCAATACAACCGGCTTGAAGGCTGATGAATGGTTGTCACCACCGTCCGGCCACTGCGGGCCAGGCTCTTGAGCACCGCCACGATACGCTGGGCTGTGGTGGAATCAAGGCCGGACGTCGGCTCATCCAGCAACAACAAACTCGGGTTCACCAACATTTCTTGCCCAATACTGACCCGCTTTCGCTCCCCGCCGGAAACTCCCCGGAACAACGCGGTGGCGCCGCCAACCGGGCTGTTCCGGCACCGGGACAGCCCTAGTTCAACAATGACCAATTCAACTTGCTCCATCTTTTCTTCCCTATTCAAACTCTTGGGAAGTTTCAACATGGCAGCATAAGTGAGAGTCTCAAGCACGGTTAGGTGAGGGTACAACATGTCATCTTGGGACACAAACCCTACGTTACGCCTCATGGAGCTAGAAAATGGGTGGCCATTATATGTGATGTTGCCAGAGAGTTTTCCGGCGAGACGGCCGGCGAGGGCGGTGAGTAAGGTGGTTTTCCCACTCCCTGAGGGACCCAACATTGCCATCACCTCCCCTGGCCCCACCATCCCCGTCACACCATTCAACACCGTCCTTGTTAGCTTTGGCTTTTGTGATGATACACAACCATTCTTGTCCCTTCCAAAGTCTATGCTGTAGGAAACATCCTCAAACTAACATGCAAAAATAAAGCAACGTTAGAAGAGAAACGACACAACATATTGTTATGTAACTAAATAAATAAAACATCTGTCTATAGGCATCTACGTATTTGATTCAGCTTCTTTTTAAAATTATAACATTAAGGTATTCTCAGACATAAAGAAATAATAATTTAAATTTTATCAATTTAGAGATTTTGAAGGGATAGATTGTTTTTAACTGTGTGCTAAATATTTTATACAGACAAAAGGTAATGAAAGAATTAATATATATGTTTGTGTGTATGATGATGCATGAGTGTTGTTAAAAATTTGATGAGTACTTTGAGGGTAACGGGACGAAGGGATTGGTGAAGAATGGAAAATCTTGTGGCTGAAGGAGGTGGATGGTGCTGAATGTCATTGCTTAAAGTGGGTTTAATGTTGTTGGTGGAGGAAGGTGGTGGTTCAGCATGGACAGAGCTGTTTTCCGAGCGGTTTGGGATGGCCGGAATGTTTGGTGTAATGGTGGTTTCTTGCTGAGGGGGCATCATTTCAGAGATTGGGTTCTATGACTGTGATTCTTTTGAGGGAAGAGAATGGTTATTTTGATGTTTATGTGAAGAAGAGAGGTGGTGAAGAGAGAGAGTCACATGAGTGAACGGGTAAGGTGAGTTACAAAAGTGAACAAGGCACGAGAAGCACACAAAGGACCGATCGAAGGATAACAATATATAGTAGAAGAACACTTCATAGACACCTCTTTGCTTGGATTTTTCTAAATTATCTTATGAGAAAATAATTTTATTCTGAGCAAATTATTGAATTTAAAATATTAAAATTTTATCAATCTTTTATTTACTTTTTTTTACGGATAAAATATCATTATTTAGTTTTCCTAAAATAGAACTATTTAGTCGGTAGAATAATTTAAACAAACTACTTTAAATGTATACACTCAGATAAAGATAAGAAAAATTAAAAAAAATATTAAATAGATATTAATATTGTTGAAATATTCAGTAATCAGAATTGTAATTTGAACGTAGCATTAGGAACGAGAGAGCATCCGCCAACTATTGCTACTGTGTTTGTATGTTACTGTGCATTTTAAGACAAAACCGAGTAGAAATAAAAAACGAGTAATGATATAATTTATATTTTTTTCTAATAATAAAAAAGAAAAATAAAAAAATGAAGCAATGAGACCAGGTTGTCATAGTTTTAGACTAGAGGGAATATTTGTTTATGAGAATTTCAAAAGGAATAATGATATGTTTATACATTAATTTTTCATAATTTTTTTTATAAAAGATGTGGAAATAAGATTAGTGATACGATGAAAAGTGATAAATAAAAAAATATTGTAAAAATTGTGAATGAAACTAATACAATTTTTTTTTGGAAGTATGTATTCATTACCAGAAAGGAAAGAGATAAAAATTTGAGAGAAAATAATAAATAAGATGAATAATTAATATAATAAAAAAGAGAAATATATATAAAGTGAATATAATTATTGAATGAAAAATTATAAATGTTTATTCATAAAAGAAAAGCATTAACCAACACACACTTGGTTCAAGTGATCCATATTTGATTTTTTTTAAAATAAGGTTTTCAATTTAAATTTTGTTTTGTTTTTTTGCCAAACGTGCTAATTCAATGATTTTGTAGACATTCTTCGAGTCACAAAGAATTATATTTAAAAATATGTGATTTAAACAAAACAAAATAAAATACTATTTGTGTGCTTAAACTTTTCTGCAGTCATTTTAATTTTTTATTTTATCTTGAAAAAATGAATTATGTAAAAGATGATATAATTTTCTACATGTAAAACTTGTATACCATTTTATTCATAAAAATATATGAAGCAAACTATATTGAACTACCAATTACTTAGTGCGAGACACCACCTAACTACATTTTCTTTTAAAAAAATACAGACACATATATGAATGTCGCATTTAGCATTAGCAACGTGTAGGGAAGTCTTTTGGTAGATTCCTATCTTTTTTTGCTTGCTGTAGAATATGTAATTAGAGATATTTTAAATTTGACTTGAATACACTGTAGTGATTGTAATATCAAAGCATAAGGGGGACCCAATTGCAGATTTCATCATATCCACTACCCATAAAGGATGCGAATGAATATATTTTTTACATGAAAACAATTATTGTGGTATCTTGATTATGGTAAAGTGTTGATGATCAAAAGAAAGGTGTTAGTAGTAAAAGTTAGCAAAGGTTCTAACAACATGTTTAGGAGCATGTTTAGTTTACAACATGTTTAGGAACATGTTTAGTTTATACTCCAAAGTTGCTGTAAAATGAATCTACTATCATTTCAACGCGGTTTTAAACAATTTCATAAGAATTAATCTTACGTCAATGAGATATTAAAAGCTTTGTTAGCTTAAGTAACTTGTCTTTATTTTTTATAAGTATTACACTAGTACAGTGAAAATTTTTACTATAAATTTGACTTCTACAGACATTTAAATTAAAGGGTTGAAATTTGAATAAGAGGAAGATAAAGTATATGTATCGTAATTTTAATAAAAAATAAAATAACAATTATTTAAAAATAAAAATTTTAAACAAAAATTAATTATATAATTTTTTATCTTATTGAAAGATAAAAGAAAGACTAAAAATGAATTTTAAAAATATTATCATGAGAAATATTATATAAAATAGTATTTATAAAATTTTATTTTTAATCAAATTTAATAATATCGTACAATCCATTTAACTGATCTCAATTTAATGAGATAGTTTTTTTTTTTTGTTATTATATAATGAAATTGAATGTTCAAACCAGTTGACCTTTATACTTGTTTCTATTATTTTATAATAATTAAATTAGTGTATTTTATTAAATAAAAATCAATATTAAATCAAATTTCTATCCGTTAAACTAATGTCACAAAATCTTACAAGTGAACAAATTTAAACACCTTTAATTTTTATTAAAATTTCTACTTTCATTAAAATATTATATAATTTAAAATATTTTCAATTATATTTTTATATTTTATTTATACTTACAGATACTAAATTATGTTAAATATTTATTAATTATAATAACAGTAATGCACTTCATAGACTGAACTTCAATATTATTAAATTAAAAAGAAAAACCAACTAGATGTTCTAAATTGTATACCATGATTAGATGAATTGTCTATACTTAATAACCAAGGTACGTGACCATACAAATATATCAACCAAAACAAATAGTTAAAGTAAAATTAAACATTATATTTTATTAATATAACTATTATATTAAAAAATTAAAATATTTAAATTACATGCATATAAATATAAATAATCTAAAACATAATTTACATATATATATATATATATATAATATTATATAATTTAACAATTATGTTAATAAAATTTTTATACAATGTTATCAAAAGTATCTATATCTTTAACACTTAATTGTAATTAATCTTATTTTTATGTGTGTTACTTCTATCACGACATAGTTATCATACCCAATTTATAAATATCTTCACTATTTTCAAATTCAACTAAATAGTATTTACTTTTAAATAATAACTTAATGTATATACAATAATATTAAAAGAGTCACTGGATAATATACAAGAAAATGATGAAAAATAATTGTCGACACAATAATAATGAAATAATGTTTATTCTAAGAAAAAAAATAATTTAAATACATATAAGAAAGACAATTGAGAGCATCAATAAAGAGAATAAATAATATAATTTTTAGTCTAATAAAAAAATTAGAGAAACTCTAAAAATATATAATAATAAATAATATTTTAAAAAATTATCTAAATAATATTGTGTGATTTATGTAGCTGAGTTCACTTAATGAAATGGTATAATTTTTATTTATAAATATTAATAAATAAAAATGATTTTGTTAATATAATAATTTATGATTGAACAATATGTACAAGAAAGAGAAATTTTCCTTTAGAATAAATATGTTAATAAGTTATAATGCTAAAAAGTGTTTTGGAAATAATTTTGTTTTATTGCAGTCAATTTGGTTGTGATTAAAAAGGTATTTAAATATGTTTATCTCCTATAAATACGTATAAAATTAGCTTTAATAATTTTGATGTGTGAAAATTAAGTGACTTTAAAAAGTGTAATTTTTACAGGGTGTTCTCTCTTTAGCAGTGTCTGCTTGAGAGGAAAGCATGGTTTCCCAATGCCTTTATAGGTGTCAAAGAACTATTCATCAACACAGTTAGTGGCTGAAAATGGTGTCGTCTTTCCCATAAAAGGCATTGGTTTCAGCGTTTGGTCACTATCATCGAAGGTGTATTCTTTAGTTAACCTTTTTCTTACAATTCCAAACACACATTTCAGAATTTCTATAGCTGTGATTTTATTTCCGTAATTATATCACCCACCTCTGCCTAATTCCCTTTTAAAGAAACTAAATCTTTTATGCATAAAGCCCATTTTTGCTTTTTCAATTCTTCTCTTTATTAAGTTTATTTAAATTTGACAAATTATTTTTTATAAATAATATATATATTATTAAAAAGAGTTTAAGAAGAACTTAAAACTCAAATACACACAAAAAAAAAAATATTTATTCAAAACAATACCCTAAACCTTAAAAAACAGAAATATATTTATATAAAATTTGTTTTAAATATCAATTAGTTAGCAAAATAGTTTATTCCTTACTAATAAACGATAACTATTTTTAAAAATTTGACAAATCACTTGAATGGAATTACTCTAATTTTGGATAGAAAGATCTTATTTAATACCACAAAAACAATACTTTGAAGGAGTAGGACGAATAAAATATATTTATAAATAACTTGGATATATTCTATCAGACAGTTGTTGATTAAAGGAAAGTTTAAAGTTGATTTGAAATAAGATATAATATTCTAAAACTTTCCAACAAATATTCAATTCATCATATCTTCTGCTCTCGTGTCAACATACCACAATTTTCTTGTTAAAAAGGATTAAAAAAATGCATCATGTATGAAACAATCAGAGAAGGGACTCCACTTAAAATAGAGTATATTCTTATTTTTGTCGAACTAGTGCAAAAAAATTGTTATTAATTTCATCTCTGTTATTATTTTATTCGCTAAATCTTTTTTATATTGAGTAAATCTTTTAATATTATAGCTGTCATCAATTTAGTTTTCTACTTGTGTAAAATGTCATGAGTTATTCTCTAAATTATAATTCTTTCACATTTTTTTCTCATCCTAACAAAAAAATTGATTATATTTTACATAACAAGAAAACTAAATTAACTATAAAAAATTTCAAAGAAAAACGACAGTACTTATATTTTCAAAGTAGAATGGTGTGTCTAGAATTATTTTTAAATATTCAATTAAATCAAATTTAATTTTTTAAAATAAAAATATGTAAAATAAAAAATTATTCATCGTTAATTTAAATTTATAAATATTTTATAAAATAATTAATTTTATTAAACGTTTCATATGCTTTTATTTTTTATTTTTTCACTTGTAAAGTGAAAAGAGGCAAATTCAATTAAAATATTTTTCATGATTACGTGGCATGGAGGGCCAATGAGATTTTAGAAATTTCATTCCTTCAATCATAAGGGAATATAGAAGCCAACTCACTCTCAAATATTGATAAATACCCTCATTTATTTATTTGGTGGGTGTATATGCAAATACCCTCAATGAAAGTGCATAAG